AGCCAATTACAGAAATTTTATAATTGAAGATCTGAAAACAATGTATGTATGTACCTCTTATTAATTTTTACGTATTACGTAGTGTTGTGAATGGTTACGTCTCATTTCCCTGATGATAATTTCCTCTACAAGCCATTTACCTGACATCAAGCAGTTGACAATTTTCTACGTAACGATATATGCCTGCAACTGATTAAATGCTAACCTAAAACTTATGTAATGTCGGGTAAATAGCTGTAGTGGAAATGACTGTCGGCTACCATTATAAGTTGGTTCTGATTTTCAAAAAGGAAAAGAAAGAAATATCTTTATCGTTATTTTTTAATGAGCGTTATTTATTATCGTTATGAAGCGTTTGATTTATGTGATTTACAAAGGTCATATGATAAATTTTACATGTGATAGATCGTGTTACTGCTAGTTACGTATATACTAGTCATTTACCGTTTAAAAGGACGTTAAGATCCTCGGCTTCATAGCTTTAATTAATTATAAACGAATATGTCCGAACAAGTGATCTCTGATCATAGCGAGGTGGACAATGATCATGAAAACGAGACTCCTGAAGCGGATCAAGATGACAGTATGTCATTCGTATACGTTTCTAGGATTCACTGATTTCATGTACTCCAAACTCATTTTCACGATCAGCTAAACATTCTTAAATTATTAATAGTTGACATTCTTGGAGAATATGAAGACGATGCAGAGGTATACCCAAGTTAACGAACGAGTTTGTCATTCAAGATACATTTTGCTGATTTAATTCTTTTCAAGGAAATCGAATTAACACATTTGCGTATTAAAGACCTATCTAATTTAGATCTTGCTCGGTTTCAAAATTTAAAGGTAAATGAAAGCCCTGTGTAAGATCATTCTTGATCTATGTAATTATAATTAACATCAGCTTCATTGATCTATTTATAGAAATTGTGTCTTCGACAAAATCTTATTACTAAAATTGAAGGTTATGAAACTATGACGAACTTGGAGGATCTCGACCTTTATGATAATCGAATATCATATATTGAAAATTTAGAAATGTTGAAAAATTTAGTGTAAGTATTAAAAAGAAAATGCTTAAATATTTTATTTTAAATTAACAAGATGTTGAATATGGATTGTGTTGTCAGATCGTTAGATCTGTCTTATAACAAAATCAAAGTGATTGAAAATTTAGAAGAGCTTACTTGTTTAAAAAACTTATATTTTGTTCAAAACAAAATAACCATTATTCAAAATTTGGATTCACTTATAAATATAATCAATTTGGAGTTGGGCGGAAATCGCGTTCGGGTATTTAAAAACTTGCATTCATTTTTTTTTTTCGATTAATTGAATTATCTTCACAATAACACTTCCTTTATAGGTCATAGAAAATTTGGATAGTCTTGTCAATTTAGAGCAACTTTGGCTTGGCAAGAATAAAATCACAGAGTTGCAGGTTTTACTTTTACAAATTTCGATGCTTTTTTTGTATCTACAAATGTTAAATTATTTATTTTTTCCTAACAGAATATGGAAAATTTAAGAAATCTCAAGATTTTAAGTATTCAAAGTAATCGGTTGACTCAAATTAAAGGGCTAGAAGGACTTATTAATTTGGAAGAGGTTTATCTTAGCCATAATGGCATAAATGAACTTGAAGGATTTGAAAATAATGTATATATTTTATTTTCTATTTATTTTCTATTTTTCTATTTTATTTTATTAAAAATTTATCTATTTGATCACTTTTATTTATAGATGAAACTAAGGGTAATCGATATTAGTAATAACAATATAAAGAAGATTGAAAATATTGCACACCTGGAAAATTTGGAAGAATTTTGGGTGAATATTAATTCGTTATCGTTTAAAATCAAATATTTATTATTAATTAATTACTTTATTACTTTATATCATTATAGGCTAGTTATAATCATATCTCTGATTTTGAAGATCTTTCGTCACAACTTTCACACCTTGAAAAGTTGACAACAGTTTATCTGGAAGGGAATCCTTTACAAAAAGAACATCAATCTTTATATAGACTCAAAGTGAAAACCTACTTACCTCAGCTTACTCAAATAGATGCTACGTAAGTTGTTCACTTTTAACCTTTTTTTTTTTTTTGTTAATGACTAATTTTTTTTTTAAAAAAAAAAATCTATTGGTGTGTAGATATGTCCGGTCAGACATTACAGGATAGACTATTTTGAAATAAGCGAGATTGCTAGAATGGGTTATCTTTTTATTTTTTTATTTTTTTTTGATACATTCATACATAGATCATTTATATTATCAAGAATATATAATTTGTACAGCATATACCCGCTTTAACGAATTCCAATATGAAAATTACGATTGCACAGCGTAATGATAAATTTTAATGTTTTTTTTAATCTAATTTAATATTATATAAAATAATATTACAAGGTTTGTCACGTAGTTCAGGTGGTAAATTTTTTGACTATGTATGTCAGGTTTTACGAATATATAAAAAATAAAAAATTTAAAATTTATTAAAGTTTTGTATTTTTATTTGTTAAATAATATTTACTACAGTATATAAAATTTAAATAATTGATATAATATATAATACTGTAAATCTAACAATTAATTTTTTTTATAAATGTTGTAAGTGGAAACAGAATTAAGTGGATTTGGAATTTTATAGGTTAGGGTGTACATATGACGAAATGGTTTTTTTTATATAAAATTCCAAATCCACTTAAATTCCGTTTCCACCTACAACATAAACAAGGGTTTTTTACTACTAAAGAGCTGGGAGTTTAAATGAAATACAGTAAGAGATACTAAGTTTAGAGATAGCATACGTACGTACTTTTCACAGCATGGTGTTTAATGGTCACATATCATAACACGTGTAAATATTGAAATGCGATGTGATTTTTGTAACCTCATCAGCGAGTGATAAGATGAATCTTAGGCAAAATTATCGTAAGGATTGGGAACTTGCTTATTTTTATACCATCCATTCACTAGATCTAAAAACCTACCAGAAAAAAAAAGTTACATGATTAGTAATTGTGTTAAGGTAACGCTGAATTTAGATAAAATTACTGATTAAGAATGTTGTACTCTTTCCCCTTATATAGCCTTTTTAGCTTCAAGGAGCGCCTCTCTAAGGCAAGACCCATTCGTGCTTATTCTTATCACGGTAACATATAAGAAAATATATATACTGTATATAATTGGTAATTATGTTACCCAAACCCAATACTAAATTCCGTAATGTAAAGAATGTCTATTCAAGTGTAGGTTCCAAAAACTGACCTTTTTTTTTGGTAAAATTTAGCCAACGATCGTACGACGATCTAGATTTCCGGGCCCTAGTGACACGTGAATTTTTAATAAAGCTACTGATTAAAAACGTTCTACTCTTTCCCTCTATAAAATTTTTGAAGAAACAAAACTTCGAATCTTCGATTCACCTCATTCGTGCTTGTCTTGTCGCGTTATCATATAAGAAAAAGATCCCTTAGTATGATACTAGTATGATAGTAATAAAAAAAATCAACCGTGAGAAATGATTCTGCGGAAACGTAACACAATTTGATCTTGTATTACGAACTTTATTTTTTTGTCAATTGCCGTATACAAGATCCCCCCAGCCCTATGTATTAGACCCGGGTGTGAATCTTAAATATCTAGGCTGCCCACTATGAATGATGTTTAAAATTTTCCTTCTAATGGTACAAACTCTCCACCATGTACTAGACCCGGGGTCTTTTATACGCAGTTTACGGTAATAGGAAAAATTCTATGTACAGTACTGTACGTACGCATAAGTAATAATAACGAACCCTACACAACTGCAAATACCACTAAACTTTTTTCCAAAATGACTACACAAACTTTTGATGAACCTTTCGACATGAACGGACTTACAGCTGAAACTATCACAAACATCTTCGAAAATCTTCGATACGATTACAAGTGCCTTTTCACGTGTGCGCTTGTAGACCGACTTGCTGGTGGAATATCACGTAATGCACTGCAAAGTTCATTAGCTACAATTGGAATTACAAACCAATTACATAAAAGTACATATCATCGTTATCAAAAAATGTACTTTCGGTATTGGTGTAAAATTGCCATGCAAATACCGTCTCATCTCACAACCAGGATCATTTAAAATGTGTTCAAGGATTATACAAGTTATCTGATGCTGTTAACAGTTATATTAGAGATACATATCCGGCTTTGTATATAAAGATAAGAAAACTTACTGCACAAATTTTCGATAAACCCTTCGACATGAACCGACTTGCAGCGGAAACCATCACCAATATTTTCGAAAATTTTCGCTACGATTAGGACCAAATGTTCCTAAATCGTTTGGTGCTTTTCCCACTGTAGCGGTTAATTTCAACGTTATCTCTCAATTTTACCGAGACCTAAAAGATCACCTTGATTCACTTCGTGTGGTGTGCCCACTTGGTGGGCAATTGGTGTTTCCCGAGTTAAATGTAATAATACATGCAAGAGAGGGTCAGGCTATCGCTTTTAGATCGAACATTTTGGTCCATGGTAATCTTCCTGTTGTTGCGGGCATTTGTCACAGTGTTAATCTAATACTGGCCACTAAATATATAGATCGCGTTGATAATATTATATATATAATTTAAAGCATTTGTAATAATTTTTTAGTAAATAAATGATTTGTTGCGTCATTTAGTACGTATCGATGGTTATATTCCAAAAGTGGTCAATCCATTTTTTTATGATTTTGTACTTAATAAAATTCTACACTTCTGTAGTATTCGTTTAAGCACAAAATCTGTGATTATTTATTATTCAGAAATTATCCTATTCCGAGTGTTATATATTCATTTGTAAATTTCACTAATTTTATTTTTTGGTCCAAATTGCTAATGATTTACATTAAATCTTACGTAGCAATTCTAACTTGTTTTATTAAATGTTTATTTAACGTTAATAAATAATTTCACATAAGAAATTGAATAAAACAGTGTAAGAAAGTTTATATTTATTTTAGTTATTTTAGTTTTAGCGCTAAGTTTAGTTTTGTGCCTTGATACGTAGGAAAATTTGTTACCACATAATTATTACCATATACGTATCTATTTTAGTCATTTTTACGTAGCGCTAAGTTGAAATCGTTGGAGTTTTGTGCCTTGATAGCAAAATTTGTTACGTACCATATAATTATTATATATACTATGTATATATCTATTTTAGCCAGTGTTGATCAATTTATAAATTAGGAAACGTCAGTTTCTATACGTATAAGAAAACGATTGTAAAAAATACTCATTGTAGCGCAGAGCGCTATGATCAGCGCGCAGAGATGAGAAGAGATGCGCTGCTACGTAACCGCTCAAAAAAATTTCTTTGCTAGTATAACAAATTTATTTTTTTGATTACTAATCGGAAAATTAAAGATCTGACGTAAGTTAGGTAAATTCATATGTGTAGCCAAATATCTTGGTCTACTAATTTATCCTCAACTTTCCATTGGACGAAACCAATTACATCACTAATCACGGTGGTTAAAAATTTCATGTAGCCATCTAATGCACTGCAAGTAAAAGTAATTACTTCTCAAAAATTTTTTTTGTTTAAATTATTCTTTTAGCTGCTTAATACTAACGTTTTGCTCTTTTGAGTTTTATCACTTTCAATTTTTTTAGTAAATAACTTTTTATTAACGATTAAATATATTTTCACCAATTTTACTGTAAAATTTACTGTATCGCGTAAAATTTTTATTTGAAATTTATAAAAAATTAAAGACGGTAATAAATATTAAAAAAGAAATAGCATTTATTTTTTTAAAAAAAATTACAAATTCAAAAAAAAAAATTCAAAAAAATTAAAAAATTAAAAAGAATAACTGCAATATAATTACACACGCACATTACTGGATTAAGTGACTATATAACCAATCTAACCATCCTTAGGAAGAATTGACTAATCAATTATTTCACTTAATTCACCAGTAGCATCTACCAATTTCGAATTCATCCTAACATTTTTAAACCTATCATTGTTCATGATTTGTGAACTTATTTTTAATTCCATTGATTAATATGTGCTCTTTATACTCACGAGCTGAATAAAATGATTAATGCGAATGAAATGAATTTAAACGTAATGGTAAATAAGTATTTATGTTCTTGAATCATGCCAGAAATGCACGACGTTTAGCCCCTTTTTCTGTAGCTCTCTACAAGGCCAATAAGGTTTCTTGGTAGCATCATCTTCACGTGAGAAGTGTACGATCCAAACTTCCAAAGGGCGAAGTTTATCAGTGATTGTTAGATCGCAGAAGTTGTGTTGGAGAGCACCGATCTATCATTGGCTCGAAGAGGTACTTCTACGTTGAGAAAAAGACAACTCTCTATACATTGTCTTTTATTTGATAAATCTTCGTTTCACTAATGCAGTTACATTGAAGATGATTCTGGCGGTGGTAAAGACGTCCCTTCGTCTTGTTTTGCGTTATTCCATAAAGTTTGGATGTCTTGACTTTGAATATCAACCTATAAAAAGCAAATTAGATGAGTAATATTTCGCATAAAGTATAATTAAATAAAAAATAAATATTTTTAGATAAATGGCAGATGCAGGGATATACTCAAATTAATTTTTATTAACAACGTTGACAAATTTGGTGTCAAATTGGTTTTAGGCATATATCCAATTCGTTTTGGATATTGGATATAAGTCCAATTCGTTGTCCAAATGACTTCGAAACAATTTGACATAGCAGCTTTGTCAACCATTAACTAATAAAGAAAGTGCATAACAAACTCCTTCTGGAGAGTAGTAGACCTTTATCATTAATAAAGAAAGTGCATAACAAACTCCTTCTGGAGAGTAGTAGACCTTTATCAAAAATTAAAAAGGTATAATTCCATAAGGTTTACCAGGCGTACCCAGTGCACGCATCTATTTCAGTATTTGTAAGGGTAAATATGCTACGTGGCAGCATAATACCCACGCCCCTATCAGCCGTAGCCAACAGGTACAAAATACCTGGCTAAGGCCCCATTTATCTAAACGGTTATTATTCTTTAAATACTTACAGATTTATTCTTGATAAGTCGTTTCGCTGCATCAAGTGCACCTTGCGAAGTTTGTATTTCGTTACTGACAATTTTATACAAAATGCTATAAAAAACACCATGTGCTTCGGTTTTTGTAGCATTTGGATAATTATCAATAATTATCGAGACGTAACGACGAAGTGTCCACTTGTCGAATGGAATAAGCGCGAAGAACATGGCAAAGGGAATATCGCAGTCAAGAGAGGAAGAAAAAGAAAAATCGTAAGCGGAACCGGCAGCAAAGATAAAAGTAGATATATTTGGTGTCTAAAATAGTAAAATTAAAGTAAAGAAAAATTATCAGTAAAGAGTAAAAAAAAGTTATCAGTAACGAGTAAAAAAAGTTATCTATAAGCGTAAAGAAAATAAAAACGAAAAAATCAAAAGAACAAAACACGCGCAACGCGTCATCAGATCTGCAGGTGCTGTTTAGTGCTGATTAATACAATGCTATATATTGTGTAATATGAAGATCATCAAAACGCGCGCCAAAGTGTGTTATCGGATCTCGTGGGACACGTAAGTGTAATTTTTGATAATATAATTTTTGGTTGGTACAAGATTATACCGAGACAATATACTGGCCGAAATTTATATTATCGAAAACTATATTCTTTCATACCGAAAACTGCCTGTAATTTCAATAGCTTAAGCAGCAGAGAGTGGACAAACTTTGGTGTATTTGATATTTTTTCCATCTTGTATTTCTTCATGTTTTCCTAATTTAAATAAAATAAAAAAACTTAACAAAATAGACATAACCAAAACATAACAACATAAAAATATATAATTTTCTTACTAGTTATAGTAATTCTACAGGTTTTGGTTTTGGTTTAGATGGTGTTGGGTTATTAGGATAGTTAATCTTGGGGTGGTATCATTGGTCTTGGGGGCAAGGATGATGATTTTCTTCGGTGGTTAAGACTATGGTTGAGGACAAATTCTGTGATTTAATGTAATAAACTTTTACAATATACCAATTTCTATAAAATTCTGTGATACCATTTTGTAGTTTCTGCGATTTAATGCGATTAAATTTTTTGGGTTTTTCCAAATCATAATTCCGTAACTCCCGACAAATCTACGTTGATTTACTGTGGACGACCTAAATTTGTGGTCAATGCTGTGATATTCTGCGCTACTTCAGTACTTTTTTAAAATTCTGTGATATTTTACGGTGAATAAGGTTGATTTCTGTGGTTGGCTGCGTTTAAGAGAAATTCTACGGTTTTCTGTGAATCACAGAAAATGCTCATTTTATGTTTCTAAATACAAAATTTCGGTTTCATATTCGCTGTTAGATAAAATGACATTAAAATAAATTATGGTCAGGTAAAAAAAAAAATTATATATAAACAAAAAAATACAAATATAACCCACCTAACAAGAAACAAAAAAATCGCTTATTTTTATACTTCATTCATTAGATCCGAGAACGTGTCAGAAGAAAAAATACAAAAATACTGTGTTTTTTTAGGTAAATTAAACCCCCTTAGATTCGACGATCGCTCCTGCGAAGTGAAAAAGTTAACGATCTTGACGACCTGGGAAATTTCAAGTCCCATAATATATGAAATTTGATAAAGGTACTGATAAAGAACTATAAACTATTTTTCCTTATATCATTTTTGGCCCTCAAAAGTGCTTTTTCTTATCGCGAACTTATATTAGATAATGAAAAGGCTCTATACAATTCGTAATATTGGTAGTGTTTTTTATTTATTGATTTGTAAATTTTAATTTGATCCTTATAATTGGTCAAATGTACAGAACAATCACTCGATTATGCCCTAAAACAATTAACAGGAAACGGTGATGTTACACAACTGATTTTACACACGGTGTGTGAAACACATAAAAAAATTATTTTACAATACTAGATCGGACTTGATCAGTCAGCTAGTACATGTTATGATTATAATCCCACACCATTTTTTATTATAAAAAAATGGCGTGGGATTATAATCATAACATGTACTAGCTGACTGATCAAGTCCGATCTAGTATTGTAAAATAATTTTTTATGTGTTTCACACCGTGTGTAAAATCAGTTGTGTAACATCAACGTTTCCTACCAATTTTAAGGATATTCAAAACCATGCGTCAAACCCATCTGTCCCAGCTACTTGGGCATATTATTGACGTCTAGGACATCGTTTGACATCCATGCGTACGTTATTAAAAAATTTTCAATACGTAGTAGCAATATGTAGCAGTAGATTTTTATGAATTTGGGTCAAAATCCCGAAAAACGGATCCCCGAAAGAACGTAATACTGACAAAGTTAGCCGGCACTAGCCATAATGCTGGCCAATTTAGTCGGTGTTATGTTCTTTCGATAATCTGTTGTTCG